GGACGCCTCCATTGGGTTTCCTGAGGGCCGTGAGGCGGGCCAAAGCACGGGCGCCCCTGCTCCAAGTGGAACTTTGCCGCGGCTGCTGCTGCGTAGGTCCGCAAACAAGACTTGCTTGCCAGGTTCGTGTTTTTCTGTGGGGATTGCCATGACCCCCGAGTTGTTGACGTGGGACCCGGAAAGGCCGGGGCTTTACTCCATGGTCAGCATTCCGCTCACTCTGCTCTCCTGGAGGGGAGACGCCCAGTTGCCTTTGCATGAGCAGGGCCGGATGCATTTGTGCAGGCCCAGCTTGGCACAGTGCACTCCAAACAATCGCGTTTCTTCCGAATTTCGCGCGCCAGCAAGGGCGGCAGCATTTGCAAGTGCTGCTGCAGGACGCAGAGGGCCTGGAACTGCTCGCATACGCTTAGCAAAACGGGCCTTATTTTTGATGGCCTTATGCAAACGTCCTTTGAGAACATGCGGTGGCGACCTCAACCGGCAGCTCGGAGCACCCAGCACACTTTGGACATCAAAAGAGCCAATGGCAGCGAAGGCCGCTCGGAGCCGGTTCCCTTGCAACGGTGCAAATCTCGGCGTGGGCGGGTTTGCCGGGTCAGGATCCGGGGGCCGAAGGTTGGCCGCCGCCTCCTCGCCTACAGGACATTGCGTTGGGAGCCGCTTCAACTTGGTCGAGCCAACCAAGCGTCAGGCTCAACTGTGGGTTCAACTCCGCTGCATGGAATGTCACTGCTCGACAGCCCACGCAAGGAACAGCGACGCACCGAGCGGCTTGGCGGGCAGCAGTCCTGCATTTGCAGGGTGGCCAGCCAGGCTGTTGCGCAGGCGCTTGAAGTCCAGCAGGCGGCAGTGGCGGACATTCGCGCGCTCACAGTTGCCGAGCTGGCCCTGCCGCGTGTGCCACGTCAGGCAGCTGACTCCTTGCCAGCCTCAAATGCGCATGCCATCCCACAGCTGGGGTGCCTCCCTGCGCAGGTTGCCCGCAGCCGCGTGTCATAGCGGCACAAACTACCAACCGTTGGCTCCTGCCGAAACTTCCGGGGCGTCCGTCGATGCTCTCGTGAGCGCCAGAGGCGGCACTGACGGTGAGGGTTGGTGTTGGCGCCGCGGCTGCTGTGGCTGCATCCGCGCTGTCGCCTCCTCAGGCAGGGCGCTGGGGGTCTCAGGTGGCCGCGCTGCGCAGACGCTCTGTCGACGGCAGGAGCTCTCGGGCCATGTTCCGGACACTGCGGTGGGGGGGCGATGCCTTGCAACAGTAAGTCGTCTGCTGCGCGGGTGGCGTTGCAGAGCAAACATACCCACTCACTAGAGGCATCGACCAAGGCAACATGGTAACAGCAGAACGGCACCTCCGTCTCCCAATCGGGAACCGGTGCCGGTGTTGCAAAGTCAACGGGCCGGGGTCATCGCGAGCGGGTTGTCCGCGAGCGGGTTGTCCGCGGTGCCCAGCTGAATATCGATGCCATGTTGGCCGCCAGCCAACCTCGACGTCCTGCTGGGCGGACACGGGACACCACCCTCGTCGGCTGAACGTTGGAGTGCCCCGTTTGTGCGATTCCCTTGCCACGGCCCGGCTCCGCCTGCTGAAGCAAAGGCAGCTTGCGCCCCGTTCGGAATAAGCCCTGTGAATGGGAAGCGGGCCCATGCACGTGTGTCAGCCCAGCACTGTGTATGTTTGCTGCATGGCAAGCACGCCCAAGTTCGCGCACGCAGCGTCCCAGCTTTTTTGGTTGCTCTTGCTGTTCTGCTGTACTCCGTTGTGCGACAATGTCCTGCGTGAGCTCCCACCCAAATCCACGCCGAGCTCTCCATGACTTTGCTGTTGCAGACTGCTTGCGCATGCTTGGACGTCGCCTGGTTGTTTTTATGGCTCTTTTTTTTGAACCACGCGGCCGCTGCGATCATGCCGGTCCGCTGTTGTAGCGAGAAACGTACCCAAAAAAAAAAACGTGTCTGTCGAGCTGGTTGCTTCGCTGCGTTCCGCGCTCGGAGTCGCAGAGGGTTGGCTCTCCCCGCCAGCTCTGGGCTTACGCAACGGGCGGTACAAAGGCGTGGGGAAAAACAACACGCAGCGATCGCTTCCTGCCGCCACTCGGCACGAGCACGTGTGCGACGCTGCATTGACCCAAGCGCAGGCCCTGCGCGACGAGGAAGCCGGTGCTCCCAAACAAGCAGCGAGCGTCCCTTCCTTTCCTTGTTTTGTTTAGTGCCGCCCGCGCGTTTGCTCGCAGCCTGCCGCCTTCGCTGCTGCGACAAGCAAAAACCTGGCAGCGCGGCCACACTGGCTGTGCAGCGGTGCACAAACTGCCCTCCACAACAGCAGGCGCCAACCCCAAGCAAGGAGAGGCTATCCGAGTCCTCTGGCTCGGCGCCAGCGACAGCTTGGCGCCAAGTGGGGGGGGGGGGGGGCCAAACGAGACAGCAGAAACTGGCGACACAAAGCAGCCAGGCTGACGCCAGTTTTGCCGTGGCTGGGCGGCCTCAACACGACGCTGGGACGGCGGTGACGCCCCGCCCCTTGCAAGGGTAGTTGCGCGCTTCGCAGTTGGGGACAGGCGCTGCGAGGAATGGAATGCCCGCTGGCGGCAGGTCATGCAGGTCAGGGAGATGGTGCTCCAGGAGGAGCGGAGGCCGCAGCCAACCCAGCAGGAAGTATACCACATCACCGGCACGGGCGATCGGATCCACTGGAGACGCAGCTGTTTCGGGTTGCGCAACGCCACAGCGCGTGGGATGCGAGCTGCAGTCCCGTGCACCCATTGCTGGCCGGGAGGCCAAGTGCAGCAGCGGAGGGGCTTCTGGTCGCGGAAGGCCGATTTCCACGAGGCCTACTGTGAGTAGGGGCACCTTTTACAGCTTGAGCTTGTGAGTAAAACACTCCTTGCCCATGCGTTTTAGGAGCAGTGAACGACAGCTGTTTTTGATCAAGAAAAGGTGACAGCCCGACGTGAAGGTTAACAGTAACAATTTCCGACTTGGCTTATTTTCGCTTCTTGGGACTTAGGCACTTCTAAGGAAAAATGCCTTGTATAGCCATTTCCCGTCGCATGTTTCTGCCTTTGGAGTTTGGTCGCCCCACGACTTTTGCCAGCAATAGTTACAGCAATAGTTACAGCTCCGCCCAGTGCGAAGTCTGTTGCGTGTTGGCTTGTTACGCAGCCGCCGCCACTTGCTCAGTTGGAGGAGCATTAATCCTCGGAGCCCCATCTCCAGGCCTGGCACAGCAAAACACGACACGCGCGCCCGGACAGCGATCGCCAGCGCGCTGCTTTAGCTTCTCCAGCGCCCAGCCAGTTCAGAAAGACCCGCAAACTCTGGTTCGCGCGTTTTCAGACCAACCACTGACTGCCATCGTGCTGATTTGATCCCCACTTTCTCCAGTTGGCAGCGAAACGGTTCGCTCGCAAAACTCGTCCTGCGCGGGCTGTTTGGGCACTCCAGGTTTTCAGTTATCCGAAATGACAAGAAACCCTAGCTTTCTAGTTGCTGCTTCCTGTCCGTGCTTGAATGCTAGTGTGGGTTACTTTAGTACTGGTCCGCAATCTTCTTGTGGCATGGAAAGTCGAACGAGTTCAGCACCTCAGACGTTTGCATTCGGCATGAAACAGGTCACGACATCGCGCGACGGGAAGGCCTGCGGAGGTCAAGTCTCCCTTGAGTTCCTGGGAATGGGCCATACGCCAGGCCATCGCAGCTTGCATCCACCCTTGAGCTCCATTGGGCACTCCATGGAATCTGGGCATCGCAGTGGGCAGCTTTGGCGAAAACCAGTTGTCAAAACTGGGCGTGCAACGCTCCAACAGATTCTTCACATGTTTGAATAGATTGAATGGGTTCGTAAGATGGAACATGCCAATTGACCTTTATATAGCTGGTTGCCCCCAACCTACACAAGCAATACTAAATGGTTGGACCAACTGAATGAAACAACTTCCAAAAAATCTCACAAAACAGGAAAATATCCGGCTGGGTCGAGCCTTTCGCCCGGGAGGTTCTGGTTGTAGACCCCCTGTTGAAATCCAAACCATTTGGTAGGAACAACATTTGTTTAAGCTGATGAACAGGCCACTAGTCAAACATTAAAACCATAAAGTGGTAAGAGACCATTTTGAAATCCACGTCCATGTCAGCCATTGGAAACGCAGTAATTGTATGCAATTATGGCAGTGACCAGGAGCCAAAATGGCACTACACAGTGGAACAAATATCTAGACTCGCTGCTAAATGCATGCCACTCCGCTATTAACTGGACTTCTAAATGGTTTAGCAATTTTCAGCGGTCCAAAGGTCGACCCACTTCCTGTCAGGCAATCCTTTAAACGCAACCTCTACCAAATGCACTGCCACCAGATACGGTCAACTGATCTTCAACCTCACCCAAGTACCGACCTCTACTGAATGGATCAGAAAAAATGCGCGCCACTACCTGGCTAGCTGTAAACGGCCCTAGGGCTGCCCATAATTTCCAGCGGGGACAGTGCAGGAGTGATTGTTTATCTATCGTTTAATTGACCTCGCCGCATCCGGTCTCAGGTTGTGGCTTGGGTTTCCACACGGTCAAGGCCACTGCAAACTCAACGCTACGAGTGGCACACTGAGTGGCACACTGAGTGGCACACTGAGTGGCACACTGAGTGGCACACGTGGCACACTGAGTGCCTCATTATGTGCATAGTAATTGCACCAGTTTTGAGTCGACCCATTGCGTCTCTCAGTACACATGCATCATCCTTACTCAAAGCGTGCTTACCCACACATGCACATCGTGGAGAGATCCATCAAAATGAGCAATATGATAGCGCCTTGCATGTTTCGATATACATATGATGCACAGGAAAACAAAGTTTCTGCTGGCCCTTGCAATGTACAACTAGCAAACCTTGAATACAGAAAGCACATGAGCCACGAAAATGGGACTTCTGAACTAGCCCGTGGCATGTCGAAGGGCAAATGTATATAGCATGGGAACCCACAACAGCGAACACTGCAGCAGCATTTTCCCTGTGCAACAAGTTTTACAGTATCAATCTTTGTCACCTCTGGTGACAGGTGAACTCGACTGTGCATGCACACTGACTCGCTGACTTTGTCAATGCGAAGGAAATATGCAAGAACCAGTTGTGGCTGTGGTAAGTATTTTTGTTTCCAACAGCTCAGTTGACATTAAAACTTCTCCTCCACCATTGGATCTTCCAGGTCCAGGTTCTTCTCCTCTTCCTGTTGCGCTGCTTGTGCAGCCTGTGCTGTAAGCTCGCTGGTCGCAAAGCTGATGCCGCTGCCAGCCATCAATAAGCCTTCACCGTTCACGTGTCGGTCAAGCAGCATCTGCCTCGAATTGCAATGGGAACGATCGTGAACGCTGAAAATTTAAAAAAAAAATCCCTAGGCCTTCAATGGCCTTCAACTGGTTTGTGACCAGTTGTGGGTAAATAGGTCAAGTGTCTAGCAAATCTATCATGTTTTGCATCTCGACCGCAGACAGCCGACTCTGCTGCCATTTGCTGCCATGCCACCCTAAAGCACAAATCTTGATCTCAAAACGGTGCTGTCCAATTGCTTCAATCACTCGACGCAATCGACACTCTTCGTTCGGATTGTAGCAGCGGGCCGTTGAACAGTCCTGAAATCCGAGCTATAGAGCTGCGAATACAACAAAAAAATGTCCTTAACAGGTTTACATGATTTAAAAAAGAAGAAAAAAAACATCGGAACCCTCCAGAACCTCACCATGTATCTTCACCAGAACCCTCAGAAACCTCACAAGGCAGGAACCCTCCGGAACCCTCCCGAACCTTGTCCGGAACCTGGTGTGGAAGCTGCATCGGCACGGGAGCAAAGCTGGGCTAAAGACCCCATAGCAAACTCGTGCTGCTGTGGAAAATACACCAAAGGTGGTGTCCCGAGGGTCTAAAATTTGTCTGCTCGTTGCGTCTCAGACTTCAGTTCTTCGCTTTACACCTGGCCTGCGCCAGGCCACCCCGAAACCTCCGGAACCTTGCCTGCACCAGACCACCCCAGAACCTCCAGAACCATTGCTTGAACCTTACACCTGCCTGCACCGGACCACCCCGGAACCTCCGGAGCCTTCCTTGAACCTTAACCTCCGGAACCTTGCGCTTGAACCTCACACCTGCCAGCGCCAGGCCACCCCCGAACCTCCGGAACCACTGCTTAAACCTGACACCTGCACCAGACCACCCCGAAACCTCCGGAACCATTGCTTGAACACTACACCTGGCCTGCACCGGACCACCCCGGAGCTTGAACCTTACACCTGGCCTGCACCAGACCGCCCCGGCACCTCCGGAACCTTCCTTGAACCTTACACCTGGCCTGCACCGGACCACCCCGGAGCTTGAACCTTACACCTGGCCCGCACCAGACCACCCCCGAACTCCGGAACCTTGCTCGAACCTGACTCCAGAGCTCCCCCGAGCCACCCCGAAACCTTATCTGGGCTGAGACCCCTTAGCTTTCACCTGTTACAGAAAAGACACTTGAAGAAAGGTATCCAGCGTGATATCGGCGTCCATAGGTATCCTATGCATTCCTCTGTGTACATACTGCATCATCTGCTGTTGGAATCTGCATCAATCTGCTTCAGTACCGCAGGAGGCCAGGTAGATAGATTAGGAGATAGGCTCTGAGATAGGTTCACAGATAGGTGGGCAGGTAGATGGGTAGAAGGATGCTGGTATAGATAGAAGGATTGATAGGTGAATGGATTTATGGAAGGACTGACAAATGGGTCGATGGGTGGATGGGTAGATGGGTAAATGGGTGAATGGATCAGTAGATACACAGTTACCCCGTTATCCCAGCCAACAACCTTGCTAGCAAGAGGCAAGGACACCAAAACCCCACACACGCACACCAGACATCGAGACAACAAGACTGGACACGGACAGCAAATACCACGACAAACCTAGATACAAGACAGTGAAACCCGACCGAGGCACCATACGACATGAACATTCCAAGAGACCAAGCCTTGACGGACCGCCACAGAACAATGCCCAAGACACCTGAGCGAAGCCGCCAGCGAAACAAATTCTACATATATATTTGGGTGAGTGAGACCAGGACTCAAAGCACTTGAGGGAACCCACACAAAACTGACACCGACACATGCATACGCACCCTACACCGACAGGAAAGATCAAGGGAGAAAAAAAATACAATACGCACCTGGACACACCCTGCCACCCAGCCATCTCCGGACCCGACCCGACGGAACCAAAATACCAATCGGATCCAGGCTGAGCCCAAACTGATGCAATTGGGAACCTGTGCCTTTGGATTCTGCATGTTGTCATCGCACGCGCTGCCACACAGAAATACCGAGACAGCGAAACACCCAGACAGAAATCAGAAGACAGACGCCAAGATCCCGAAAAAACCGGCACACCAAAACACTGAGACTCGGGACACCAGAACACCCGGACACCAAGATGCAGAGACACCGGGACACCGAGACACAGGAACACGGTGAGACTGGAACACCAGCCGCCGATGGAGTTAACAACCCACAACCTCTGCTATTGAGGAACTAAATAATTAGAACAGACAGTCGTGCAAGAAGTAAATTTGGAAGCTCGCTCACCCAACATCTGCCATGAATGAATACCTGATCTCCGAAGCACCGATTGACCCTCCTTGGGTTTTCTCTTTGCTGATCTGCCAAGGCTCAAAAGCTGTCAGAGCCATCAACGCAGACTCACAAAGCGGAAGGACAATGATCTGCTTCAGCGCCATCTCCATCGACATAAAGGACCTTGCGGAGAGGCTCTTCGCTGCTCCGCTGGAAGCTGAATCGGTTTATAGTTCGAAAAAGAACATAAAGAACTCTCAAACTGTCAGGATTGTCAGGTTTATCCTTCAGATCCTTCAGTCGAAAGTCCAAGTTCAAATGACATCATATGACGTCCAAAGTGCAGATGAGAGACAGTAGTACGCACAATTCCCAAGCGCACCAAAGCCGGGCATGATAGGTGTTCCCGCTGAGGCATAACATCTTCCGACACGACATGACATTCACTGGGAGAACGCGCAAGCCATCAGCGATTTCATTTTGATTGATACAAAATTTGTCAATCCAAAAAGTCGGATACCTGCCATGCTTCTCATAGAAAGTCTCCACCGCAAGCTGCAAAGCGCTCCACTTTTGAGCCGGATTGTCTGACCAAGAGTGGGAAACAAAAAAATCGATGATCTCACCACGGCCCACAGGTCGCGACAGAGCAAAGTCATCACCTGTTGCATTCGTTCCATTCGTTCTCATGACTTGCAGACTCAGCGCAGCCCACTCCACACATCGAAGACCCTTTCGCCCCATCTGGAGCAGTACAGGCCAAGGCAAAACCTCCTGACCACGATCAACCTGCCAGTTTCCACGGTGACATGGCACGAAACAAGTCCCATAACCACAGCCTACCATTGTCATGAACCCTACTGTTTTGCTGGATCCTGAAGTATGTAAACATGGGCTTGGCAAAAAAATGAGAGAAAGACCGATTCAATCCCTTTCAGCATTTTCAGCCCTATCAAAATTGTGAAAAAGCTGTCTCTGACCCATCCGACCCGCTGACCCTCGCCAACAACCAGGTGGAAATGGTGCATTCACATCAGAACCCAAGGGCCCAGCCTGGACAATTTGTGCTGTGTGATTGTCCAGCTGGCACTCCACAGAAAAGCTCTGTAGGTCTTCAGATGCAGCGATAACGATGCCTGCCACGAAACCTGGACGTGGCTTGTGATCAGGGAGTCCTGCGATCTGTGATGCAATGTCTTCCTGCCAAGGGCTCTTCTGTGCTCTCCCGAAGCGTTCCAGTTTGGATTTCGGCTTCAATGTGTTTTTGCAAAATATACTTCTATCATACTGCATCAAGTTGTGCAGGTATCTGTATCTGTATTCTTCTAAGTTTCTTGTGTTTTCACTTTTTTATTTTCTTTCGTACGGGAATTTGGGTGGCAAGCTGCCATTACAGAATTTGTGGCCTTTGACAACAGACCTCTTTATTATTTCATCAGCAAGAAGCTGCGTGAAGTTTCCAGCGGGCCAAACACGGCCGAACCTACCCTTACTTTTGCAATGCCGGTGTCGGGTTCGTATTTAGTTTAAGCACACCCTGTGCCCCTTGCATGCCACGTGAAAGTCAAGTTCCAAAAAAGAAAACGTCACTACATGTCACCATTTGCCTGACCCTCTCATCCGTTTCCTTGGCTTGGACCTGTTCCGGGTGTGCTGCTGCTGCTTCTTGGATCTCCTGATGTGTAAGCCACCACGGCTGCCCCACCTCTACCACATAAGAGTCCAGCAGCATAGCCATGAAGGCTCCGTCTTGCAGCCGGCGGCCACGGGAGTGATCCAGCCAGGAGGCTAATTTGTGGAACAAGCGGCGCTGCCCGACCAAAATAGCGAAGAGTATGGGACAAAGAATCCTCGGAACAGCCCGAAGTTCCGAAGGAATTTGATGCGAAAAGGTGCTTCTCATCTCCGCGTGCATATGTGCTCATTGCCAAACATATGCATTCATATCTATATGTGGGTGTGATTATGTATGTTGTGTGCATCTGTATCTGCAGATGCATGTACACATATATGTTATATAAACATACACATGCATACATATACATATAGGTAGATAGATCGACGATATATGTGCATGTATGTACCTAGTGTGCATGCATATCTGCATACAAAACCGTACGCATGTTCACTACACAATACGGTGCTACATGCAGTTGCATGTAATTCAAACATGCCTATCTGGCAGTTGCATGCATGCAATTCAATTGATCCTGCTTGAAGTTTGAATATATTTGATCTATCAAGCTGCAGGCATTGTGAAAAAGCAAATAAGAAACACATGGAAACAGGGGGAAACATGATGCATGTTTAGGACAAAGGTGCAAAAATTTATCTGATTGCCGCAGAGCATCAGAATGGCAAAGCCAATGGCTGCCACTATCGCAATGTCCTCTCGTCGGCCTTCCTCCCACTCCTTGTGCCCTAGACCAAGATCGATGGCACGGCATGCGAAGAAACTACTGTTCCAGCTCAGAGTCAAGTAGCATGCCGCGTAGAAGCGTGTGGTGTTCCGCATTTTGTGCCTGCACCACAGCCACAAATCCACGATGATAACCACAGCTGCATGGAAGCTCAACCACACAGAGGTCCAAATTCCAGGCTCATCCAGCGCACATTCATTGACAGTACTTGCCAGAATCACGTCCAGGAACCAGAGCTCCATCAAGTTCACGAACCTGGGAATTGAACGGAACCAAATGGAATCCAGACATACAAAGATTGAAAATGATTGACGAGGATTGGAGATTCCACTTGCCTTGGCACAGACCCCAGATAGCAAGAATGATTACAATGACAACATGTTTACTGCAAAGCACAAACGGCACCCTAACAAGATAAACCATGCTGAGAGCTGGTTAAAGACAACCACAGCATACCACAGCCATGACCTAAGCGAAGAAGTGTGTGACAATGTACCCAGAACAGCCACGACACGACAGCCTGCCGAGGGATCGACGCAGTCTTTTGCATAAAGCCCGGCCGTTGCAGCAGCTGGCGCACCCCTGAAGCAGCCAGGCTATACCCACAACGAACGAGATCCAGCGTGGGAAAGGAAATTCCAAAACTCTCAGCGCCCCTGTGGTCAAAGGCAGCAGGGCGAACTTTGCAGTTAGACCAGGCCTGGCGGCCACAAATTTTTCGATGTCCAACTCATCTTGTGGACACAGTGAGACGAAAACGACGGTGAGCGAAGTCAGGAGCCATGCCAATGCAGCGAGGCCACTAATGACACCTTCAGCTACTGGTCCTGGGATTAGGCGCCACAGGATCTCCGTCAAGGCAGTCAACAAAACGCCACCAATCAAACAAATCATGCCCACCTGCAGCACTGAATAGAAGACTCGAAGTTTCTCGATCGCGCGGCGAATCGCAAACTCCTCCACTTTCTCCCTCTCCGATTTCGTTGAAGAAGAAGCCTCAGAAACTGCTGTCGCAGCTGGACCTCGCAAATAAGTAATCTTGTCCAAGTCCTCTTCCTCAAAGACTACTGCGCTCCGGGGGCTCCCCTCCATGCTCCCCTCCATTGTCACTGGGGATGCTTCCATGGCAGCGTTGGAATTTCACGGCCGGAAAAGTTGGCGCACGCTTACGTCGTCACTGATGGGCCAAGGTGCTTTCAATGGATTCACATGGAGTATAGTATTACGGGGGCTGCGAACTTTATAAGGTTCCTCATCATCTCTTCTGTCGGGGTTTCTTTTTCTCCACCGAACTTCGAGTTTTGCACGTGTACATATACATATGTACAATCAATGTATGTATGTCTGTCTGTCTGTCTGTCTGTCTGCATGCATGCATGCATGCATGCATGCATGTATCTATCTATGTATCTATGTATGTATGTATGTATGTATGTATGTATGTATGTATGTATGTATGTGTGTGTGTGTATGTATGTATGTATGTATGTGTGTGTGTGTATGTATGTATGTATGTATGTATGTATGTATGTATGTATGTATGTATGTATGTATGTATGTATGTATGTATGTATGTATGTATGTATGTATGTATGTATGTATGTGTGTGTGTGTATGTATGTATGTATGTATGTATGCATGTATGTATGTGTGTGTTGTTCGTGTGCTGCACGCGGTGTGAAAAACGTTAACATGCCCCAAACAAAAATGAAAGAACGTAGAACATCCATGGCAGGCAATCTGACAGCCGCGGGCCAACTAGGTCTGGTCACTAATTCTAACTTCGTACCAGCCTTCTCGCACGCTCCACTGGCACTGGCCAATCCTATGAGATCGGGTGACCTGTCTTCCATGCGAGAGGAACAGTTTGACAGGTGAATCATGGTGAACCATGATGAATGTACAATAATTAATTATATACACGTATACATGCACGTGCATACTTATCATTAATTATCATGGATTGAACATCATGAAGGTCATGCAAGGATGTGATTGGCTGGCATTGAAGGCTCGGTCCTTGGGATTATCTATATTAAAATTGATTGTCGCTCATTCTTATTTCTTTATTATTGAGACGTGTCGAAAGCCAGTCAGCTTCAAACGGATCGAACTAGGATATTGGTCCACCAACATTTTGTCGGATCAGATGAGCGCGGCACGCTGCTTTCAAAGTAAATATGCAGTGCTTGTTACCCATGGTGCTTCAATTCCATTCAATTCCCTGCCACACCTCGGCCTATGAATCTCAATGTACCTTATTGCTTTATATTCATTTCCACCCAAGCCTTCCAAAACTGTAGTCGGCTTCGTGCATGACTTCCCATGGCTGCGCCGACCAAAAGGAAGGTGGCCTGGCGAAAGTCTGCATCACTGCGAACAGAACGATGTTTTTCTGTGGACCAGACATGTCTCCCATGTGAAAGAGACAAAACAGTTGCGACAGACTCAATTGATGCGGCCCGGGGAAGGGAGAAAAATATTTAAACGAAAAAAAACCTCAAGTATCCTCAAAAGTCATGTATGTCAATTTCATGGAAGATCCTCATGTACGAACTGACTGCCGCTGCCTGAAGCTGAAGGACATCGACGCACACCTAGCCAATTTCAATCCAATAGGGGTACCATTTCATTTTTTTAGGGCATACGGTTTCCATGAGATTGTGAGGCCGCGTGCAAGTTGAGACTGACTAAAGAGCGACCAAAGCATTGCCGTTAGTTAAGGTAGGGGCCGTTGATTTATGAAAAGAGCACCACGTCTGCTAAAAGCTGTTGCGTCTTGGTACGAGCATCTGAAAGATTGAAAAAATCCACCAGTGCTCTAGGTTAAAGGTCCCGCGCACTGCTCCTAGCCTCAAAGAACCCAGAACCCAAAAGCTGACAGCAAGGCGCACACCTTTTTACCGGGTGGCTTGGGAAGGTGGCACTTTCCTAGGGCACTGCGGTGCGCCTAGGACAAGGGGCGAGATGTTCCCCTCCTTCAGTGCTTCCCAAGGCAACCCCGGTAACAGGCGATTGAGGCCCAGGCGCAAAGTCCCCCTCTTCAGTGCGGGGTTGCACCTGCGGCGGAACGAAGCACAGGGACAGGCAATGCGAGGGCATTGCTGACCCCTCAATGCAGCAACTTTTATCAGTGCATTTTCCTGATGCTTGAAGTTTGGGCGCAAACTTGGCCATCGCAGCCAGGTCTTCTGGCTGCGGAAAAGCCCCTCAGTGCGAAATGCAGAGGGCGAGCGCGCGCTGCGGTCGAAAGCCACACTGGCTTTCAGGAGCCGGACGGCTAGCAAGCCATACGTCACACATGCCCGGCGGCTGCAGCCGACAGTCTGCGTCCAGCATCGACTCAGCCGCAGCGGCAGTGTTGGAGCGGGCCCCAGAGGCGGGGGCTTCACGAGGAACTCCATCACAAGGTCGAAGGGCGCGGAGCCGGGCGGAGCGCAAGGCCGCAGCTGTTGCGCCAGTGTCCCAGCAAGTTGTGAGCATCGAGGTCGTTGAATGGCGAGAGGGAGCGCAGCTGCGCGAAGGCCGCCCTGCGCTCGCTGTTAAGGCATGTCGCACTGCTCCTAGCTTGAACCCAAACAGGAAACCTCGAAAGAACAAAGCTCGTCCGAAGCGGCCGCAGTTCTTTTCACCGGGATTGCTGAAAGTTGCACTGCTTCCAGGGCACTAGTGCGCCTGGAGCAGGAGGCACATTGACCCCCCGAAATGTGAAAAGGCAAGACAACGCGTGTCCTTGCGGGTAAATGCAGTGCTTGGGGGGGGCGCGGCACGCGTGCCCACGCCCCAAGGTCCGGAGACCGACAGTCCGGAGACTCGAGGTCCGGAGACCGATTTTGGTCCGGAGACCTAGTCCGGAGACCACGGTGCCCGGAGGCTACCCACGAAAGTGCAGAGAAACTGCCGTCTATCCTGGCAAAGCCTGGCATAGGGCAAGGCAGGGTGAGTAGTAAGGAACAAAGGCTTATAGTCCCCTATTAATTGGGGCTTTTTGGGCCAAAAAGCTGCCCAAATGGCCATTTTGCGGCCAAAAAATCCTTCGTCACCACTGATGTCACCACTGCTTTTCGGCTCCGTTTCGGTCGAAAAAGTGCTCAAATCGGCCAACTTTCCGAAATCCCGAAAAGTTCGTTTTTTCGTGTCAGACGTCGAAAGTGGGCCTGAGCCTCCAAGTTCGCTCGTTTTCCGCCGAAAACCGGCTCCAGACGTTCGCCGTGCTCCGAATTCCGTTTTCTGCCCCGAAAAGCCTGCGAATTCCAGCCCGCTGAACTCGTCACCGCTTGTCACCGCTTCGTCACCGCTCGCTTTTTGGTGCAAAAGTGCGCAAAAAGCGGCCCCAGTTCCCGAGCTCCTTCTCCGCAGGGTTTTTCGCGGCCCGACAGCCCGCCGAGGTCCAGGCTCGGAGTCCGACAGCCCGCCGAGGTGGTCCGTCAGCCCGCCGAGCTTGTCACCACTGATGTCACCGCTCCATCCGGCTCCGGTTTTTGGTGCAAAAAGCGCTCAAAACGGTCGAGTCCGAAGAGTCCGTTTTTCGTGTCGGACTGCAAGTGGGATGCCCGAGCCTCCAAATTCGCAGGTTTTCGGTCGAAAGCGGGCTCCAGACGTCAGTTTTCCGCTTTCGGCCCGGAAAAGCGGCGAATTCCAGCCCGCCGAGCATGTCACCGCTTGTCACCGCTTCGTCACCGCTCTCTTTGGGGCCGAAAAGTGCGCAAAAGCGGTTCCCGAGAGGACACGGTTCTTGGCAAGTTTGAGTCAATAATGGAACCGGCTGATTCATCAATGGCTCATGAATGGAACCGGGTGATTCATCAATGGTTCATGAATGGGCAAGGTTGGTTCATGAAAGGGGCAAGGTTGACTCAGGTCTCGTCATGTGGCCGAGGTGTCCCAAGCGTTTCTTTGACCGAGATTTTCGGTCAATTCGTTGCATCATGCCCAGTGTCCGATTTTATAGGACACTGCGCCACTTCGCGTACTGGTAGGGGCTGTTGCGAGTTGATATAACTCAAGTGAGGGAGCGCTGCGAAAGTACAACACCCCTGCGTTATAGACCTACTCCTAAGAAAACATGTTTGAAGGACCTGTCACGGGCAACATCCCGGAGGTCCTGGACAACGGAGAGGTGACTGACGGCACGCACGTCACAGCAGGACAGCTGGCCCTCGCTCTCACGCCCTATGCTCAAGTAACTGACCTGGCGGTGAACACGGCAGCCTCCGGCAACAACGCCGCTGCCATCCAGTCCCTGGACGACAGAGTCACCGCAGAGCTGGCCTCAAAGCTGGACAGCAGCGCGCTGGCGCCGGCGATTGCGCCCCTAGCAACGGCTGCGGCCCTGGCCACCACGGACGGTCAGGTGGCCGCGCACGGAAGCAGCATCGCCGCGCTGCAGAGCTCGCTGACCACGGGTCTCTCCAACAAGGCAGACCAGTCGGCCTTCGACGTGCTGGAGGGCGTGGTTGCCACCAAGAGCACCCCGGACGGCGTGGACCTGAAGCTGTCCAACTACAGCACCACGGCGGCCATGAACGGCTCCATCGCCTCGGCCAACAACGCCACGCTGGCCACGGTGGCCGCCAACTACGGCCTCAAGACGGTGGTGGACCAGCACTCCCTGGACATAGCGGCGAGGATCACGCCGCTGGAGGTGGACACCAAGGTGGCCAACGCTCTCCTGGGGGCCGTCACCGCCGCGGCGCTGGCCTCCGAGCTCGCGAGCCGAGACGCCTCCATCTCGGGGCTGCAGGCCTCCAAGGCAGACGCCAGCGCCCTGACTGCTTACGCCCTGCAGTCGGCCGTGGACACCTCCTCGGTGGTGGACTCTAAGATAGCGGCGGCCCTCTTGGACGCTGTCACCACGGCAGCCCTGGACGCCGCCCTCCTCGGCAAGGCGGACGCAAGCGCGCTGGCCTCCCTGCTCTCCACGGTGGACGGGTTGGACACGCCGCTGGAGGTAGACACCAAGATAGCAAATGCCCTGCTGGGTCTCGCCACCGAGGCCTTCGTCGCAGCGCAGCTTGCTAGCCGGGACGCCAGCATCACGGCGCTCCAGGGGGCCAAGGCCGACGCGACGCTGCTGGCCTCATACGCCACGAACGCCGCGCTCTCGGCCAGCGAGACCGCGCTCCAGAGCGCCCTCGACGCAATCCTCGCGGAGCTCGCCGCCCTGCAGCTTTCCGGCAGCGGCGGAGTTGTTAACGCACCGGCCTGGGCGGGCTTCACAACTTGGGAGCTCGTTCGCGGAAGCAACGTCGTTCGCAACCTGCGTCTGGAGGCTCCTCTCTCTGCTGCGCTGGCCAACGGCGAGGACACGCTGAGCATCACGGCCGACTGCTACTCCGTCGCAGCGGCGGACGCGGCCCTCGCGGCTGCGCTGCTGGCCTACTACACCTCCTCACAAGTGGACGCCCTGTTGGGAGACTACCGCACGGCAAGCGCGCAGGACGCGGAGACGACCGGTGCCATTTCGGCCGCGCTGCTGGCCTACTACACCTCGGCGCAAGTGGACGCGCTGTTGGGAGACTACCGCACGGCAAGCGCGCAGGACACGCAGACGCAGGCCGCCATCGCAGGCGCGCTGCTGGCCTACCGGACGGGCCCGGACCAGGATGTTTTCACAACCAACCAAATCACCTCCGCGCTGGCGGCGTACCGCTCGGCCGCCGACCAGGACACGGCAACGGCCTCAAGCATCGCCGCCGCGCTGCTCAGCTACTACACCATCGCACAAGTAGACGGTCTCCTCGCCGGCAAGCTCGGAGTCACGGAGGCAGCCTCGGCGCTGCAGATAGCAGTGCGCTTTCCGGACGACGGAGGGGCCGACGAGGTGGTGGCCGCCATAGGAGAGCAGATCCTGGCCCCCACGGACGTCTCGCTGTCAAACTGGACGGTTCGCCCCAGCAGCGGCTGCAGCGTGGTCCTGGCCACGCACACCGCGGGCGCAGTGAGCGTGGACGGCTACACCCTGACCCTGGCGGTGAACCCGTGGAACATCGTGCGCACCTACAACCTGACGCCCGGCCGAGAGCTCCTCTTCGCCTGCCGGTACCGGCTCGGCACGGCCTCCAACTTCGTGGTGTACATGTCCGAGGCCGACAACGTCTACGACCCCCTGTACGGCAGCTCCGTGGGTGACCAGGGCGCCTGGAGCACGGCCAAGATGTACTTCACCGTGCCGCTGAACGGGGTCGCAAAGCTGCACTTCGGGGCGCACTTCCAGGGGCGCCGGGCCTGGCCAACCAGACGGCAGGAACGGTGGACGTCTACGGCCTCCAGATCCTGGACGCCACCCTGGAGGCCGGCAACTCGACGGAGGTCGAGGCGGACACGACAGCCTCGGCCCTGCTGCTCAAGCACGAGTTTCTCGACGGTGGGGCCGACGTGACGCTGGCCACCCTGGGTGAGGTGCTGTTGGAGCCCACCCTGACCACGCTGGGCAACTTCCTGGTGCGCTCCAACAGCCAGCTCCGTAACCTCGGCCACGGTGGGCGGCTTCGAGCTGGAGGGCTACGCCATGACCCTGAGCGCCTTAGCTTGGAACATCGTGCGCACCTACGCCCCGAAAGGCGCTTCTCCTTCGGCTGCCGGCACCGGCTGGGCACGGCCTCCAACCTGGTGATGTACGTCAGTGCGGCCGACAACGACTACGGCGTCACCGGCACCTTCCTCAGCACGGCCACGCAGGGAGTGTGGAGCACGGCTCGACTTCAGCCAGAACACCCGAGGGAAGACGGTCATGGACGTCTGTATCCGGGAGGCTGCTGTGGAGGCTGCGCTCAACAAGAACGCCAAGACGGTCGGCCAGGCCACCAAGCGGGCCACGCAGGAGCTGGTAACGTACGGCCATTGTGGACCGGGGCATCCAGGACCTGGCCACGCACGTGGCCCGCAAGCGCGGGTGGTGGAGCGACCACTCTGAGCGAGCCGCGGGGGCCTGCAACGCCCGGCCACACGAGACGGTACACGGCACCCCCGAAAATGTGGAGAAGCAGCTGGCCACCGAGCTCCGGCTTCTACAGGAACGCCGACAAGTTCCAGCACAACAAGGACCTCACGGACCGGCGCATCAAGGCCGTGCAGGACGCGGGCGCCTTCCGAGCACCAACGAACGCGGCGAGGAGCTTCAACCCACAGTACAGCGACATGCAGCAACTGCGGGCCGTGGACTCAATGACCGTCCGGAGCACCGAGGGCCAGGAGACCCTACTGCTACCCCCCCCCTGAGACTGGACGTTGGACGATCAAAACAAAGGTTGGAGGGGCTCGGTCAAAGTCAAACTCGTAACGAGCAACAGCGATTGCGAATGTTTGTTAACAGACCAAACCACTGAAGGACAAGAATTAAATGCACACGCGGGCAAGGACCACTCTAACTACTATGACAAAATGTTCCCATTTGCTGGTCGCGTCTAGCTGGACAAAGCCTCTTTGGCTGGCTCGGCCCGCCCAAGTTCTGGCACTATCAGGGCACGGATGGCCAATTATTTGGTGGGTCCAGAACCGAATCGCACAGCCCTTTGAAAAGACCACACTGTTGGTTCTGCGATCTTGGCGAACAAATCTCCAGTTATCTAGTGGTACTTCTACGGCTGCTTCCCTTTCAACATGTACACCAATTCAAAAAAACGGAATCGTTTTTTTGAAGGGCCACTGAACAACTGGGAATCAGGCGGTGTTTAGTGTGTAACATTTCCTGAAAATAAAACTACATGTTAGCCCCAATTCAGCTGGTGGAGTCTGCAAGTGTAATCAACGATGCCCAAGGCCCTGATCTGGCCGGCTAATTGTCACTGTACCAACTTGGGGCCAATATGCTAATTGGAAAAAATATTGCTCACCATGATCAACAATTGACCCGAGAACTTGGATGTGGGTTTGTCTCAAAATTGGAGATGCCGTTTCTGGTTGGTTGTAAAAGGATACCAAAAGGAAAAAACGTCTCCCACATTCCCATGACACTCACTCCAGGCTTGCCAGTGGCACGCACGCGGTCTGACAAGCTTTTGTCTGTGATTACATCTCTGGCTTCAATCTGCTTTGCCACGAAACTGAATACGCTGTACCAAAAAGCTCTGAGACAAGGAAGACACAACGCTGTCAGGGCTCATGGTGTCACGTTGGGCCAGTGAGCGGGACAAGCAGCCGTCAAAGATTTGCCCAGAAAACTCTGAATCTCGCTCGCAGTTAGATACTTCCACCGTTGCCTTGCCAAGTTACCGGAGGTCTCCGGCGCCTTGCCTCGGAACAGCAACCCCAGCATGCCAAGGGGCATATCCTGCGTCGGGTAGGTGCTGCCTAGTTTGGCTTGCATGCCCCTCACCAGGCAACTGGCCGTTGCGCTCTCTTGATATATCCACATGGCGTCCACGATTTCCGTTTTAGAAAAAGTGGGCGACAGCACCGCTATGTAGGGGTATGTTCTGATCCGCTGCCCCTTCCACCAGGCCAGTATGACTTCTGGGTTGGTAGAATTTTCCTGCGGCACCTTCTCCACATACACCGCGGCGGGCCGTAGAGCCCCTTTTGCCAGTCCCAGCAGCTCGTGGGGCTCGCTGTACTTGGCCTCATAGCATCGAAGGCACAGAGCGACCAGCAACACGGTCTCCCAGTCTTGGCCGCTCTCAACCTTTCCCGACCAGCTCGGGAGCTCCTCGATCCATGCACCAACCTGTTTCCAACCCAGGTAGCAGCACATCTGTCCCACATAGGCAAGAATCCACCGGATCTGCCCCCTTTTGGGGGATTCAGTGAGGGCATCGAAGGCTCGCACTGGATCGTGGTCTGGACCCCGCTCGCCAGTGAAGAACTCTGACAGGAAAGACTTTGGGAGCTTCTCCGACTTTGCAGCAGGTAGGATATCCCGGAACCGCTCCTTCAGGTCCAAGTCCCCCGTCTTGACCGAGTAGATCAGGGACGGGATGTAGCCGAAATAGACGGCCTCCAACGGCGTCAAGGCCGCGCAGTTCGGGTGCATGCCTCTCAGCCTCTGCACCTCAGCGCACCTGGGCATTTTTATGGGGATCACCGTACGAGAGCTTCCTGTGCCCTTGCCCAAGACTTGATCGAGGCCAGTGCTGGTGGGGATGTGGGTGCTGAACACGAGGTGTCGTCCTGCAGGGTCAAGGAACATCTCTCGCAGGAATCTCCCCACATCTTGGTGGCCATCGGTTGGATTGGCTTTGAGCAAGACGTTCAGCTCATCCACGACGAGGACGACGTCCTGCTTGTCTGCCAGATATGCCTTCAAGGCTTTCTCGCTGCAGCGCACCCGCTCTGCATCTTTCTTGTCTGCGGGCTTGTTCTTCATTAGACTCACAGCAATGGCCCTCAGCATAGTGTCCAGTACCTTTTCGCCATCGAGCTTGGAGACGAGCGAATCCCCGTTGAAGCTGATGAAAATGGGGAGTTTCTCCTCCTTCTTCAGCCTGTCAAAGACCTTGAAAAGCATTGTTGTCTTGCCGCCGCGCATGCAGCGGGAGAGCATGGCAGGAGGCACTCGCGGCTTCGTACTCTTTGTGACCAGTGGCAGATTGTTCTGGACTGCCTGCATGCAGTCATCAACGCAAGAGTCCAGCTCTAGGAACCTTTTGGGTCGGTCACCATCTGAAGGTCGCAAGCAAGCAGCGATATTGAAGTCCTTGGCAGTGACGACCTGCTCAGTGACCTTCTCAGTGACAAAACCAAAAGCAAAAGTGGACTGGAAAGCCACTGCCGGAGAGGGGGAATTGACAAGACAAAGAAACAATGCTGACCATTCATAGCGAATCGAGCATGTTCGTGTTTTTGCAAAACGCTAACCATTCACAACACTCCACAAAGAAGCATGGGTACTTAGTGCGAAAGCCGAGCACTAGGAAAGCGAGGAACACAAGGGTACCAAAACCGAAACAAAACCAAATTTTCCAGCAGGAACACTGCCCATGAAAGCAAAGCGGGAGATGCGCGGTTCAGCTCAACAATCCTTTTGTGGGGCTCCACGCTGAGCAAAACCACTGAGTTCCCAGGAACCCCGTTCAGGTTCTGTGGATGTGATCAGGGCAGCCCCACTGAAAGCATTTCCACGGGGGAAATCAAAACCACACAAAACGTCAAACGGCACGTCTCAACGTCACCCGGCAGCAGAAATGCATTGTGCACACTTTAGCCATCTCCTCCATGCTCGTGCTGTCGGAACAAAATTTAACCTTTGGATTGCATTGTGTCTGCAGCAGCAACGTCCATGGCAGAAGGGTAGGTCTTGCTCTTCAAAAGGCAGGCGACTGGAACAGCAGGCTCTTCAATATTTGCGGGTTCCCCCTCAACTGTTTGATAGTTTTGCGCTAAACACTCACACCAAATCAGGCAAATATGAACAAGTACGGAGAAAAATGAACAACAGAACGGGATGGAATGGCAGCAAAACGGGCAAAACATCGAGCAAGAACACCGCCAGGGAGATCAAAGAGAACATTCATAGAATGCACTTGTGCCTGCAGCAGCAAGGACCCCAATGGGTGCAAAGACATCAGAGTTTGCCCTCCCTCTCCCCGGCAGACGGGCAGGTCTTGCTCTTTCAAAAGCAGGCTGGGGGCAAGCACAAAATCACTCACAACGATCAACGGCACGTCTCAATCAATGTCGACCAGCAGGAATGACCGACCTCCAACAAGGAAAGGCAACCATCCGTTCATGGGGGGTCCCTACCGAGCCTGCCAACGACAGGAAGCGCCGCAATCTGCACAAATGTAATCTTGGGATTTCCTGGTTCTCTGGATGTTGATCAGGGCAGCCCCATTGAAAGCATTTGCGGGCCGCGGGGGGAATTCCTCAAAACCACACACAACGACCAATGTCTCAGAACAAAGTCAAGAGCAGACGATTTTCCAGCCGTGCCTGGGGCTCGTTCAGCAGCTGGATCTTCTCAGCCAGAAGCTCCGCTGGGCCCCGTGGGACTCCATCTGCCATCAGCTTCTCCAGCGTCAGCTTCAGCAGGGACTTGCCTGTGACGCCCTGCTGCTGCAGTGTCGTCACCGTCTGCTGGATGAGCTCATCTCTCACCTTGCCCTCGTTCAGCACCGCTTCGGCCCAGCTCAGAACCTCCTCTTCGCCAAAAGCCTCCACCTCCTCGCGGCTCTTGGCGAGCCAGTCCTGCCAGCACTCACCAACAACCAAGCCTGGCGCATGCGAGCCCCCGGCCTCCGCACCACTGTCCTGGCACGATTGCAACCGGCCAAATTTACAACTGCTGATTGGAGCGTCCTGCTGCGGGCTGGCGCGCGAAGCAACTCCGCCACGCCCAGGGTGCCAGCTTGTCACCTCAAGAGGAGCTAAGAATCCAGGCAAAGACAATTACAGCGACACCGAGATCTGGACCTGCGCCCTGCGAGAATCCTGGCGGACCAATTGCAACACACAACACAGGAGCCCTGACTCACAGCCCCAGCAGTGCGCATGAACGGACGTCCTCTTTCAAGCCCTTCAGGGTTGCTTTGGCCTGCGTCGCACGAAAACCGCTTGTGAATCTCAGACAAAGCACGCAGTCCTGCCTCTTCCACGAACTCGCACAGTTTTTGCTTCAACTCGTCTTTCTTCCCTGAAAGGGTCCACTTCCCTGGGTTTATCTTCTGCGCTTTTCCTGAGCTCAAACCTTTCACCGCTCTTGAAAACCCCGACCCATGTGCTGCTCCAGCGGCGCAAGACAGCTTTTATCTTTTCCACCGTGTCGTTGTCCTGCAGCACCCGTTCGGCTTCTGCAATCGCCTGAGCGAGGCCAAGCTGGGACCTGTCCTTTCTCTGAAGGCCTGCCGCCTCCTCGAGATCGCGCCGGTCCTGACAACCAACAAGCCCAACGTTCAAGCCCGATGCACGTGTCCCCCAGGCCTGGCCACTGTTGTCCTGGCGGCAACCGGCAAAAGATGCGAACAGGCTTCGGGTCGGAGGAGTCCTCTTGCGCAGCCCCGGCGCGCCGAGCGACTCCGGCATGCAACGGGTGCCGTTTTGCCTGAAAGAGCCAAAGTGCAATCTGCTTGCGCCTGCGGGCAACTCTGAGAACTGGGCCAACATGCTGTCCTGGCACTCAGCACGAAACAAGAACATCCAAAGGAGGGACTTCATGCTCCTTCAGCCCAGGAACTCCTCGAGCAAAGTCCTGGGCGGCGGCGACAAGGGACTCCTGAAACCCGAAAACCTTCGAAAAAAATGTGTCCCAAGACCCAGGCCGTGCTCGGCTGCACGAGCAGCGCCAATGCAATCCCGAGAAGGCAGAGGCACATACCTGGCCGCTGCCTACCGCGGGCACGGTAGCGTCACAAGCTTGCCAGCCTCGGCTTTTGGTCCTGGTCCGCATCATCGCCATGGCTATTCGAAAAGCGCTTGAGCGGCCTGCGATTCCTCAAGCACTGGCACTAGACCCATCGGGCAACCATTGCGAGCTGTTGTTGTGTCAGTGTTGATGAGTACCCTCGAGCCAAGTTTCCAGAGCAAACACAAGATTGACTGGCTTCTTTGGCAACACCAACGCACGGGTTTGGATGCTCCTCCTCCTTTTCACTCGCGGCCTGAAGGTCGGTCGGGCCAAGCCTTGCAAGGCTTCGCAGCGTCCATCCGTCAGACTGGCTGACCCACATCCTGCCGCTGCATCAAAGTCCAAGCGACATACCAAACTGGCCTGCCTGCAAAACAAGCAGCCGAAATCGGCACCGGGCCGCCAGGGGCTGAAGGGCGGGGGTTTCTGGGGTCCCTGGTCCCTGGGATCACTGGGGCCTCTGGGGTCCCTGGGTCCCTAGGGTCCCTACATTCCCTAGGGTCCCTAAGCTCCCTAAGGTCCCTAGGGTCCCTAGAGTCCCTGGGGTCCCTGCACACGTGTGCATCAGACGCCCCAGAGTGCGCTCATCCCTGTCAACGCACGGCGGGTTCAGGGACCTTAGGGACCTTAGGGACCTGAGGGACCTTAGGGACCTTAGGGACCTTAGGGACCTTAGGGACCTTAGGGACCCTAGCAACCCTGCAAACCCTACCCTAGGGACCCTAGGGACTCCGAGGACTTCAGGGACCCAGCGACCCAGGGACTTCAAGAGATCCTTGGTGGCCCCAAGGATTTTGGGGCTTGAAGGGATCTTGGCAAGAACTTCACGCCGGGTACCACTCAGCCTGGGCATTCTCCAGCATCATAGGGTCATGCAAAAACACAAAATGCCGAAGCCAAGACACACACACACACACACACACACATTGCAAATGGGCCACAACACCACAACATCATCTCCCAACTACAAACACGGATGTAGAAAACACCATGTAGAGACATACCAACATAAAGGCACAAAGACATAAAGATATAAAGATATAAAGAAAAAGGTATAAAGATACAAAGATATAAAGATATGAATTTGTAGAAATACAAAGATATAAATATATGAAAAATCATAAAGAGATACAAATACGTAGAGATATGAAGATATAAATGTATGAAAATAAATAGATATGAGTACACGAAGATAAATAGATGTATGGCAAGTTGCTCGAATGGAAAAACAACAGAAGCTTTGCCCTTCCGCGCGTCTTTGTGTCCCCTTGCGTGGCAAGCTGCAACCAACCGAAGCTTGAGAGATGACTTCACACTTCACAGGATCTCTTGCCCCCAAGACCCAGGGTTGCTGGGGTCCCTAAGGTCCCTGGGTCCCTAAGGTCCCTTAGGGTCCCTGAGGTCCCTAGGGTCCGTAAGGTTTCTGGGGTCCCTAAAATCCCTGAAAACGCCGTGTGTTGACAAGGATGGATGCACTTTGGGACCCTGGCGAGACGTCTTGATGGAAGGACGTTGTTTCATGGCACCTGCAGCGGACGCCCGCGTGCCCAGGGACCCAGGGACCCCAGGGACCCCAGGGACCCTAGGGACCCCAGGGACCCTCGGGACGGACCGTCAGGGCTTCACTGGGTCAAAGATCAAGGGGGCTGACAGATTGGTGACAAAGATCAAATGACAATAACCTGCACGGGACCTCTTGGCCATGACAATGGAACGCGGCGAGGGCCCGGGCGAACGTGGAGCTCGAGGCGCAAGCTCAAAAGTTCGGAGTGCCTGAGCGCCAGGAAAAAAAAAGGCGATTTTGAGGAAACCACACTGCCTGACTTACAAAAAACCTGACAGTACGACTTGACGGGGTTGGGGCAATCGCTCTCAAGGTCAAGGGTTCACCAGGTTGGAGAGACAATACAAAATGCGGGCCTGGCTCAACGAGGTCACGATTTCCAAAGATACACGGGCCTGACGGCGCGGCTTGACGGGGTTGGGAAAAGCACACAAAAAAGCAACGCAAACCACTCGGGCCTCACCGGGTCAAAGAGATCAAGGTTGGGCCCAACCCTGAAAGCTCAGTTGAAATCCGCGCATCAACACTGACGGCGCAATCAGCAAAAAGGCCCAGGCAGAACGTCTTCGAGTCGCGCAAATCCTAGCACGGGACGGGGGGGGGTGTCCGGGCCTCGCTAGGCCAAAGATCAGGGGGCCTGACAGATTGGCGAGTTGGGACCCAAACCTCAAAGATCAGTTGGCATTGATGGCCATGACAACGGAAGCAGCGAAGGCCCGGGCAGTATGCCTCGATGTCAAAACAAAGCCTGGCACGGGGAAGCGCGAAAACACGACCTTCAAAATCCAGGACCAAACCTGAAACACTGCTCAAAGGCCGAGTTGACACCAATCCGCACAGGTGCCCAGCCAAAGAGTCCCCAGTAGCACGAATTGGATCCACCTGCAAGCGGCCAACAAAAAGTGACAAAAAGGCAACTCGCGGCGCTGCGAGAAGATCTGCACGTCGAAGTCTGGGCACAGGGCACGTGAGGTCAAGAAAAACTGTGAGTCTGAAACCACGCCTTTGCACCCGCGAGCGGTTCCCTGCCGCCCCGTACCCCAGAGTGTCCCCGAATCTCGCCTTCACAAGGCCCACGTGCTTGGGGAAGCTCTTTCCAAACACGACCGACAACGTGAAAATCGTGAGAAAAACGCAACGCCGGCAACCTGTCATGCAAAATCACGCTCAAAAACCATGCAAAACTGAATTTACGGAAACACAGACAAAAACGTGTTTTTGTCCGGAAATGGCGGCCCTCGAGCCGCTTGAGCCAGGGCCGTCCCTTTGGTCGGACCATTTTGTTGTCCGCCCTATAGGAAAAGGACCGGCAAGCAAGAGTCAAGATGACTACCATCGCCACTAGCGTCGCCCTGGGCGAGGTGCAGACGAGCCCCAAGGGCGCCATCGTCTGGCAGTCCGCGTGGACTCACGTCCTCTGGGAGCCCAGCAGCTTCGGCGAGGACCAAGGACCCAGGCAGAACGCCTGCCTTGCAATGGAAAGGGATTCCGAGGCCTGGGCGGCCTGGGAGGAATTCGAGAAGAGGTGCGTTAACGAGCTGTCTTCGCGGTCGAGCCGCATTTGGGGCGACTACGGCGATGTGAAGGACAGGTGGCAGAGCTGCCTCAAGGAGTCCCGACAGGGAGCGACCTTCCTGAAGTGCAAACTGGACGCGTGGAACGTCCGCTTCTGAGACACCGACGGCAGCAAGATCCAAAGGCCCGAGGCTGGCGGGCTGCGTGCCAGGCCCGCGTCGAGGCCTGGCAGGTCTGGATCATGGGCAAGCAACGCGGCCTGGTGGAGGTCCGCGACCTGCAGGTGAACCCCGGCACGGGCGGGGACTCTTGCCCCTTCTAAAACTGCGTTCTTTTTATCGTGGATGTCAGACGTAAGCGAACGCGCCCGTAACTGACCCCGGCGGCCTCGAGAGAACAGCGAGGCCCCGCACCCAGGGACTTAGGGGGCCTAGCGGACTTAGGGGGCCGGTTCGGCAGCAGGGCGCTCAGCTCCTCGTCCAGCTCGTGCTGGTTGCGCAGCCTCCAGCAGCAGAGGAATTGCATGTTCACCCGCACGGCAGCGCTGATGAGCCTCAGCTTCTGGGAGCTCACCCAGGTGCTAATCTGCATGTGACGGCCTCGGATGAAGAGCGTGTCAAGGGCGCCGTGCGGCTTGTGGAGTTGCGGCGTGTCAGCAAAGTCGTCGATGACTACAAGCACCTGGTACAGTTTCTTCATTTCCAACTTCTTGGACGCTTCCGTGATCTTGCGCTGCTGCTGGATGATGCGCCGCAAGGCGGACTCATCCCACTCGTCCCAGTAAGCCTGCTCACGCTCCGTGTTCACCCCCAGGTCCTGCTTGATGTACTTCTTGACGGGGATCCAGCCATCATCGATGTTGACGCTTGGGCTGAAGACGTAGATCCGCTCAAACACGCCCTTGTACTGCTCCAGGATGAGGCTGGTGAGCGCCACGGTCTTGCCCGACTTGCTGGGCCCGAGGAAGATGCCCGTGCATGGCACAGGCTTGCTTGCTGGTGTACTCGGGCGTGGGGAAAAGCTTGATCGTTAGAATCTTGATCACTGCTTCAATCCGAAAGGGAACATGCAGTCAAAGACAAAAGGGGTGCGACCGACGAACATGCGCGCACACTCTTTTTCTTTATAAGGCGTTGCTTGGAAGTTGAGGCTCTAGGTGTGTTACCTGTGAGGCGTGAAACAATCGAAGGCATTGGTGGCGATAGGATGCAATGCGTGCATCCGGCTGGTGCGCCATGCGGCACACGGTGCCAGGTTGAGATATGTTGAACCAGTCACATGGCGGCAGGATGCAATGCGTGCATCCGGCTGGTGTGCAATGCGGCACACGGCGCCAGGCTGAGGCCTTTTGGGCGGCAGCTGCGGCTGGGCCCTGGCGGAAATATTGCATGCCATCGCTGGTGCGGAATGCGGCTCACGGCGCTAAATTGAATTTTGTGACCTCTGCAGGCAGGTCATGGTATGCACCGTAATACTGGGGCGCCAACTGCGGCTGGGGCCACGGAAGTTCACCTGAGTGTTGACAGGGTGGGAGGGTGGGTGCAAAAAAGTGAGGGGAAACCCTCACGCAAGTCCCTTAGGTGGCTTGAAGCAGAAAACGGCAACGCGTCCGAAGATTCGATCAAGATTAAAACATATGGGAAAACAAAACCCTAAACGTTAGAATCTTGATCACTGCTTCTGCTAACTTTTCCTGATGCAAAGACGCCTGCATGAATCCACGGTACATGTGAAACATGTCCAAGCTCAACTGTACAACAGTTATGTCCAACGATTCACGCGGAACAAAATGCAATCAGTGCACAACGTGTTCATGGGGGCTACATTCTTAGCACCCCGCCTCAAATATGACTGGCATATTACCAGTCTTGTTTGACACAAGAATGTCCACGAGTCGAATGCACTGATGGCACTCACGCTCATGATACACATGTCGGGTGATCATCAAGATCACGCGCAAACGCAAAATGCGTCATTATGAAATCTCATCTGCTGAAATCTCCACATCTCCGAATCACAGATTTCCACCATAGCAAGTGCTACATCGCTTCAATCCATGCTGGATAGCATACGAAATGCCACACTGACGCAAATCTGTGCTATGTTCCAGCCACTTGCACGAGCTTCTGTGATAGCATCTTCCACTGATGGTCAGGGTGACCGTTTCTTCCCTCATCGAGGTTCTCCTGCTTGTCACCCGAGGTGCAACCGAAATTGGCGGATCCGGAATCTCTCGCCGAGCAGGCAATTCCGAACTTGACGATGCTGCTTCTCTCCACCGCATCTCCGACGTGTCATTGGTGTTGACCGAAGCGTCAACTGTGTCCTGCTTGGCCTTCTTCTCACGCACCTCAGGCTTACCTTCATCATGTTTCTTTCTCTCTGCACTTTCAACAACGTCTGCACTGGCTGCAATGGTAAAACCACGCAATCGCAAGAAAATGAATTGTACAGCTCTGCAAATCCATGTGCAAATGTAAATTGCACCGACAAACGCACAAATAAGAACACCATCTTCATATGCTCTGCTGATTGGGCTCGTGCTCAAGGCGTCATCTGAATTGTCATTGGCATCCGCTCCAGCTCCACGAATCAAGAGATTGCTGGCAACGCCAATCCTCAATAGGCTCTTGGCCAACGTCATGCTCTTCGTTCCTGCTGAGATGCCAAGGTCCTGAACATCTCTCTGCACACGTCTGATCACAGATTTCAAATGCAATTTCTCCTCCTGCTCATCAGCCTCATGCTGGCCGATCTCAAAACCATCTTCATCACAAGCTCCAAGAAAATGTAACAGCAAATTAATCCGAGGCCTCGAAAGGGCCTTGGTCATCAT